CCCCCCCCCCCCCCCCCCCGCCCCCCCGAAAGATACCAATGTCTGTTTGTCATTAGTTACTTACGATCTACTCCTGTTGTGGCCACAAAATGGGCTACAGGTGAAGTATCCAGTCCAGTGATTGGTCCAGCATGATATGAGTACATCCTTTCAGGGGCATGGCTCTGTGGCAAAGAAGAAAAGATGGTAAGATTTTCAAGTGAAGGCAGTAAGTAGTAAACTACTACAGTGGAACCTGATTTTGTGATTGTTGATTTAACAATATCCCTGATTTAACAACCAACATTCTGTGTCCCATCTTAAGTTAGAGTAAATTGCGTGGAGCAGAAACTCCATGTAATGACAATCAGTTCAATGATATTCTATCAAGCCAAGCATAAAGTTTTTCCAATGACAAAAATAAAATCTCATGAGTGATTGAATGAACTGCGAATAATGCGGCATTTAAACATGGATCGGTATGTTAGATGGCTAAGTTTTAGTTAGAACCTCCCTCACGGTTGGTGGGTTTTTATCCAGGACACTGTCGCCATATCTACTGCTATTTTCAAGTATAAATGTACATATTGTACACTGCAACATATACAGGGTATTGGTATAACTACCAGTATCAATATATCAAGTTTACAGACAAGCCAGGTCAAGTATACCCCCAAAGAATCATTAATAAATCGATTATTTGAAAAATGAATCCATTAGTCGTTGCCACATTCAAATCTGCATTCCTGCATGCATAATGAGCATTAATATCAAATTCAAGAAAAATGAGGGGGTTGAAATTTCATAACTACTTCACATGTGAATTCACTGCTCATTACGCAAGCAGAAATGCAGAGATGAATCTAAAATCTACAGCTAACGACGCATAAATTCATTAATGGAATCCCGGAGGGTATGCTTTAACTGGCTTGACTGTAATAGTGAATTACATGTATATTACTGCTTGTAGTAATAAGAAATATGATCTTTACTACTTACAGTGTGTGTAAATGACAGATCCAATTTCCAGATACCACCAGCCGCATCCTGAAACAAATTTAAACAATGTGACATGGGCATATTTATTTCCACAATTTACATGAAAATATTGTATTTACTGGTATTCACTACAGATCAAGAAAGGATAACTATCTACTGGAGGACTTCATGACTCATACATACCTGAGCATACCAGATGGGAGCTTCAGTGTTAACAGCTTTTACCATTGACATGAGCTTCACATCCGTTCCAACCTGCATACAATCAAACATTCTCCCTATTTTACTGCAGTTTGTCATGGCATAGATTTGATTGATTGACTGGCTTGCAACATGCCTTGTGTGTAATGTTGAATGTAACACAACAGACATGAAAATAGGACTCCCAGGCCCTGGGAATGTACTACCTTATATGGCCTATACTGGGATGTGCCGCTGGACAGGGTATGGTTTTTGTTCTCTCTGTCCTAAACAGGGTATATACAGGGAATAAAATTTTGTGCAAGTCTGTCCTGATTATGAAAAGGGTGTTGCCTGCACAATTGATTTGATTTGCTTGATGAAATTTGTTTATACTTCAAGTATACAAATTAAAGCAATGAGTACAACGTGAATTTGATGGCTTTAAACCAAGATGGTGTCAATTATGTCCTTTGTCCTAAACAGGGTAATAAAATTGAGGATGCTGTCCTACACACTCAGGTAATGTATTTTAGAATTTTTTGTCCAAAAACAGGGTCAGGGTTTCAAACCCTCAAAGGCTCACCTATACCCAAGTATTGGTCGAGTATACCCCCAGGCCCAAAGAGTTCCAGGTTGTGAATCCTCACCTTAAGCTCATACATTGGGTCCATTTCAAAAAGCTGTCCCTCCTCAGTAGTATCTGCATTGTCAATACTCTCAAAGTCCCAAACTTTCACAAAACCATCAGCACCAATTGTCATGAGCTCTCCCTCATCCATGAAGAACTGCTCTATCATGCCAACGTGACAAGGCTTTCTGCCTTTCTTAGAAATCTCCACCTTAATTAAACCACCATCCCATAGCAGCATGTTACCCCATTCTGAGCCAGAGAGCACTTTACCATCAGGAAGTTCAACAAAGCCTGCGTGTTACAAATAATTATCATACATTATGACGTAACAAAAAGAAAGCATATGCACAAAATGTTCACCATTTGCCCGTGGGTACTCGCTGATGAGAGAAAGCATGCNGGGTATGGTTTTTGTTCTCTCTGTCCTAAACAGGGTATATACAGGGAATAAAATTTTGTGCAAGTCTGTCCTGATTATGAAAAGGGTGTTGCCTGCACAATTGATTTGATTTGCTTGATGAAATTTGTTTATACTTCAAGTATACAAATTAAAGCAATGAGTACAACGTGAATTTGATGGCTTTAAACCAAGATGGTGTCAATTATGTCCTTTGTCCTAAACAGGGTAATAAAATTGAGGATGCTGTCCTACACACTCAGGTAATGTATTTTAGAATTTTTTGTCCAAAAACAGGGTCAGGGTTTCAAACCCTCAAAGGCTCACCTATACCCAAGTATTGGTCGAGTATACCCCCAGGCCCAAAGAGTTCCAGGTTGTGAATCCTCACCTTAAGCTCATACATTGGGTCCATTTCAAAAAGCTGTCCCTCCTCAGTAGTATCTGCATTGTCAATACTCTCAAAGTCCCAAACTTTCACAAAACCATCAGCACCAATTGTCATGAGCTCTCCCTCATCCATGAAGAACTGCTCTATCATGCCAACGTGACAAGGCTTTCTGCCTTTCTTAGAAATCTCCACCTTAATTAAACCACCATCCCATAGCAGCATGTTACCCCATTCTGAGCCAGAGAGCACTTTACCATCAGGAAGTTCAACAAAGCCTGCGTGTTACAAATAATTATCATACATTATGACGTAACAAAAAGAAAGCATATGCACAAAATGTTCACCATTTGCCCGTGGGTACTCGCTGATGAGAGAAAGCATGCACTATTGCAAGGAATGAATGAGAATTGGTCAAGGAATAAGCCTATTACAGAGATGATGTTAAAAGAAGAAAAAACATGACATTCTGGCCCAACAGTGTGTGGGAGCTTAAGATCGAAGCTCCATAAATCTCACCAGAGTATGTCCCACCTCACCCCTGAGTTCACTCTTACCAACCCATGACTGGGCTTACAAAAAAATCAACACCCTTTTTAGAGGGTTTAAAATATAGCCCCCCAAAATATTCCCCAACCCCCATGTGGGTCATTACAAAATAGTAATAAAAGTATTCATAAAATGTACATGTAAGTTCCTCGGCTATACAGAGCTCTTGATCTTATGTTTTTATCTTCCATAGACATTTTTACACTTTAATCCTTTATGTCTCCATTCCCTACCCACCTCCCTCTCCCTCTCCAAAAAAAAAACTCTACCCTGTAAAAGAATTGGTATAAAAGACACCAACCCTCTATGTCAGACAGCTCCTTTGCACCAAACTTTCCAATCTGTCCTTGCAACTTCAGCCCAGTGAAGGTGTTTGCCATTGTCCAGAATCTGATGAGAAAATATCAAAACTTCTTTTCAGTGGCTTGGATAAATATATTTACTGAGTAATGCTTCCTTTATAGACAATTCACTTGCCCTATATTGCCTCTCCATGTATATGACATAAATAAATTGGAATTTACACATTGCTGAAAGGTAAAAAATGATTTCCAGTCAGTTTTACTTTAATTATTTTCTACCTTGTCCAATTAAAAAAAAGGCTTAAAACAAAGGAAAACGAAGAAAGACATAATCCTTCTAGGAGTAGTTTGACCTGTGGAAAGCAGTACGTAGCTTCCAGTTGCTTGATGCTGCAGAAATTAGCTAAACCTAATGAAAGCGAGCCCCTGCCAGGAGTGTGGACTAATTGCTGGAACAGGAAAATATGGAGATTAGACTGACAGCAGTTCCTGTTCATGTTACATCAAAAAGCCAATGATGGAGTTTAAGAGACCGTGGCAGCATACAATTTTGGAGGGATGAATACCATGGGGGGTGGATAACGTATTATAAGCCAAACCTACACCCTTTTGCAGACCATATAAACTGCTTGAAACCCTTTAATTGTTATCCTTCAGAGCAGCACATGAGCACATATGAAAGTACCCCTGTGCGATGAAGGGATGGGGGAAGCTACACACCTAATATGGCCAGAACCACTAGTACACAAATGGCCCTCATCTTCCGGGGAAAATGCCACTTTATAAACATCCTGTGAGAAGGCTTTGGACCGCAGGATGACCTGTTCATTCTTCCAGTCCCACACTGTTAGCATGTAATCTGGCGCACTACCAACAGACGCGAGCTTGTCACCCTTTGGTGAAAAGTCAAGATGAGCATAAGCTTCTTCAGTCCCATCACGAAGGATGCGGTGGAGCTTAAGTGATGGATACTCAAATATGTTGACGTTTGGTTTTATGCCTTTTTCTGCCACTGCAAAATATTTGCTGCTTGGATGAACCTGTCAAAAATTCCAGAAAAATGCTCAATATGCATATGGGAGATA